ACCGAAGTCCCATTTAATTTCCTATCGTGTTTGCTTTATTTTTGATGTTGTTGTTGCTGTTGTTTTTCTCTAATTCTGCGGCCGCCTCGATTATGCAATGATTCGTCGCTATTTTCGGCGTTTTCCCCACCGCGCAAACAAAACAAAATGCAAATCCGTTGCATCATCATCTTCGATCATCTCTCGCATTTAAACCAAATTTCCGAACAGAAAACAAATTTAAACTATTTTCAAATTGCGATTAGTTATCAGTAATTTGGCTACACTGAATCTCCGCAAAATCACTGATGAAAATAAAATACAAAACTGGTTTCGTGATTTCATCATTAATAAAATTCGAATCACGAATTTCGTTCTCTCCTAATGGACCGACTCCAAAACCACAGCATCAATATGTATATATAAATATCCTTTTTTTTTTCTTTCTTCTTTCGTGTAGTCGATTTATCAACATTAATAAGCAACAAACGGCGACGTTACATAACGACACACACACACACACACACATATTACGAGCAGGAACAGCAAAAATAATAATTTACATATGCACGTTTAAAATAATCATTGTTATCGCGTTACGTTTTAAACGAGTTCCACGGTAATTGTGAATAATTCGTTTATTCTATTTTTGTTTTTCCGCTTCTGCTTTTGTTTCACTGCAAATGTTATTCAATAGTATATGACACCTAAGAGACGTGACTCACTTGGATCTAAAGAAGTGCAGCTAAAGAAGTTCAGGATCGAAAAGCGAGCTTAGGTGACTCACTTATATATATATATTTAAAAGAGAGAGAGAGAGATTTAAGTGCATTGAACTAACAGCAAAGATAGTTACTTAAAGCTTATTTTAATTCATTTTTACTTAATTTAAGTAAACATTACGAATTGAATCAAAAACATAGACGATCTAGTCTACTTCCTATCCGCATACGTAATTAATTCTTCGATTGACTGAACCGCAGACAAAACAAATTATGAAATTTTGAGAATTTTTTTAAGTAAAAATTCTCCTTATTTTGATTATAATTGATGCTTAACACTAATTGCATCCCATATATAATTACAACGATTAAGTTAACGATTAATGATTTTAATTTACATTTAATGCGTTTCGTTTAGAAGTTATGTAAAAGTAAAATCGTAACGCTTCTTTTATGACACCTTTTTTTTATTTCGTGAATAATTTTAGAGCTGAAGAATTGCAACAAAATTTGAGTTTTGATGACTCATTTGTACCTCTAACAGAAAGAAACACATCAAATTAAAAGCATCTAGTCTAATTCCTAACTGCACATTTGAATAATCCTACAATTGACTGAATCACAGACAAAACAAATTATGAAATTTTGAGAATTTTTTTAAGTAAAAATTACTTATACACAAAAACGTAACGTTTCTTGATTTAGATTATAATTAATGCCCACTTAACACTAAATATAATTAAGAATCATATCGCATGTATAATTAGAAAGATTATGTTAATAATTAATTATTTTAATTTCTATTAAATGCGTTTCGTTTAGAAGTTACGTAAAAGTAAAAACGTAACGCTTCTTTTATGACACTTTTTTTATTCGTGAATCGTTTCAGAGCTGAAGAATTGCAACAAAATATTCAAGTTTTGGTGACTCAAAAAGAAAGAAGCGAATCGAATTAAAAAAGCATCTATTCGATCTAGTCTAGTTCCTAACTGCACATTTGAATAATCTTCCAATTGACTGAATCACAGACAAAACAAATTACGAAATTTTGAGAATTTTTTAAGTAAAAACGTTTCTTTTATTGCACTCTTGATTTAGATTATAATTAATGCTTACTTAACACTAAATTTAATTAAAAATCATATCGCATGTATAATTAAAAAGATTAAGTTAACAATTAATGATTTTAATTTCGATTAAATGCGTTTCGTTTAGAAGTTATGTAAGAGTAAAATCGTAACGCTTCTTTTATGACACTTTTTTTTCATTCGTGATCAAAACTAAGAGGTGAAGAATCCGTGAGTCATTTCGGAGCTGAAGAAATGCAGACAAGATATTCAAGTTTATGTGAGTCATTTGTACCTTTAAAAGAAAGCAGAGAATCTAATTAATAGCGTAGACTAGACTGGATTATGACACGATCTAGTCTACTTCTTTTTCACACATTTAAATAATCCTTCGATTGACTGAACCGCGGACAATACAAATTATGTTGAAAAGTTGAGCAATTGTATAATTTTTTTTTTGTAGAGAAAAAAAAACTCTATATAAACATGTACATGTGAAGCGAGGTAAAGAAAGACCGTGACTCATATGGAAACCGTTCATTATTTTGTAAAGAGAAGAAGTGGCTTAAGTAACGTCCAGGAAATGGTAATATATGAGTAATATAATTATGTTTGAAGAGAGTCTAGAAAATTATGATGATGATAATAATAATAAAATAAAAATAAAATTGTGAAAGATGAAAAATGATGATTTCGAATTGGGAAAATCTGGGCATAATCGAAATCGTGACCGATCGTAATTAGGATGTAATCTTTGTTGCGCACGAATCGGACTCGTCTTAAACGAGCTTTTTTGTTTTTTTTTGTTTTCTTATTGTTTTTTTTTTCCTTCAAATTAATGGGACTAATTATAAATTCGAGGTCGTAACTAATTTTTTTGGTGGTGGTAGTGGTGACTATTAATGATGTTATAATTATGTAAGGATTTAACTTAAACGAAAAACTAATTGATATCGTTTACGTTGATTTGAAAGATGTCACTTGACAGATGTCATTTGAATGTCACTTTTAACAGTTTCCAGGTGTTAGTTTAGGGTTAACTTTAATGGGAGTGCGAAAACCGAACATTTTCCACAAATTTTCCTCTTTTTTTTTATATCCGTAAAGACAAGAAATATATGAATAAACCGAAATGACTTTCTTTCCGATCCAATAGAATAATTCATTTTAATAGTTTTAACACAATTGTTATTGAAAAACTGTAAGGATGATTTTATTGGAATTGACACATGAAAGTGATTTCGGTTTTCGCAAATGGATAGCGTTTACGTTGATTTGAAAGATGTCACTTGACAGATGTCATTTAACAGATGTCATTTGACCGATGTCATTTGACAGATGTCATTTGAATGTCACTTTTAACAGTTTACAGATGTTAGGTTAGGGTTAACTTTAATGGGAATGCAAAAACCGAACATTTTCCACAAATTTTCGAATAAACAACATTATTACATAAAATGAAATTAATTAAAATAAGTATTTAATTAATGAGTGCAAAATTGTTATTCTCGACTTGGAAAAGCGAATTGTTTTTGTTTCAGTCCGAACATTAATTATTATTATTTTTCTGTAATTTAACGTAATGACTAAACATTCGAATGTTTATATATAATTGTACGACAATTACGGGCGAATGCTAAAATATAATGGAAAAAAAAAACAAAATAGAACTAATTATAATTATATATATATATATTTTATCAGCGAAAAAAAAAACAAAATCAATATGTTTATACTTCAAACGTAGGAAATAAGTAACAACTCATGTATTTTGTTTTTTTTTTGTTTTGTTTGTTGTGGCAAATCGAGTTATTCAGGAAACATGTTTTCGTTTCAATTATAATTCAAAGTTTATTTATAATATGTCCAGTATGTTCTTTCTACAGTTTTTCATTCCACATTAAACTTAAGTATATAGTATATACAAAACTTAAATACTTTTAGTATAGTGTTAATATCGTTTTGTCACTGTTTAAATGATAAAGTGATGCGAAGCAGACGTAAATACTTGTTGATACTTTAAAGCAATCTTTATAGTGTACACAAAATGATTTGTTTTGCAGTTGGAAACAGCAAGTTTTGTATGGCATAATTTCAATTAAAGTAAATTTATAAAACTCACTGAACGTATTGAAATTTTCTACAATTTTTAAGGGAATTTAATTTGAATGTGTTTTTTTCAAAGGGTAAATTTGAGTATTTTAAATTTGTGATGTGTGTGCGCGTTTCTAAATCATTTGTTGTTGTTTAACAAAAGCAGAACAAAAAGGGGGAAACGATATTTCGTAAACGGCCTTATTTTTAGCTGCCATAGCAACCAACTTCCCATGGCGCGCTGTTTACGTTCGTCGAATATAGAAATGGAAATGCATTTGTTTTCAAGTGTTTACACCCCCTTTGCCAGCCACCTTTGTTCCTAATCTGACTGACGTCTGTTTACGTTGATTAATTTTAATTACTTGGGGCTCTAATTGTGCCCCCGTTTCGTTTTTTATTTATTTCTCTTGTGTAAATGCATTTCGTTTAGGGCGCGGGGGAGAATCAGAGAGAGAGAGAGTTTTTCTTTCTGGTTTCGAACAATTTTTAAAGCCCAAACAGATCACACACATGCCATATGGCATTTTACTGCCCGGTTTATTTACATTTATACCAGCTTTCGGAGGGGTAAAGGCATTAATCACATTTTATTTGACGCGACCGAGAGAGCATCACTACACGAAAGAAAGAAGAGAGAAGAGAAGGAAAAAATAAAGAGTCGAAGCAAAAGAAAGAAAGAAGATTGGGAGAGAGAGAGAGAGACGGTTAAACTATATAATAACGTGTACGTGCAGGACATGTCGCCTTGGAAACGGGATCTCGCTTATTGCTCTGTAGGTTTCCATGGTGACAAATTTTCGGATGCGGCGATCTTGATGCCAATCGAATGGAAACGAAAACATGTTTTTGATGTTTTTTTTTTTTCGCAATCTTTGAATAGAAACAAACATTTATAACAAAACAAAAATTGTATAACGAAACAAATAGCGCTTCCTAAATGGGCCGTGTCAAGCGTTTTTTTCAAAAACAATAGGTGAAATTGATTGAGAAAATTCCGTTCGTTCGATTCGAAACAATTACAATTAATTACTCCAATTACAATCGGAATTTCCGTGTTTGTGTATGTGTGTGTGTGTGTATGGAACTTTTATTAAATTTGTAATCTTTTATCGTGTTTGCATTTGTTTATTTTTAGACGCGTTGACGCTCGACGATGATGATTCAGGATGATCACCTTATACCGTTCGATCAACCAATGGCAATACCGGAAAAAAACAAGACTACTTATGTACGTTTATCGTAGACAAACAGGCGCTTTTATCGTAGATAATACGAGTGGATAGGGATTCTATTATTACCGTTTTCTTCGCTTATCCTCGTCGTTTCTGTTTAGGTTTACTGCGGATGAAGAAGAGGATGGTGGGATGCTGCAAAGGCCAGGTTTCGGTGCGCTCACACAATCAGCTGATCTGTGTGATGATGCGTTTATGCTTTACTACAACGGAGAGAACCGGTTCTTGCGCGCGTTTCGTTTTCTTCTTTGTCGTTGCTGTTGTTGTTGTTGTTGGCTGCAGCAGCAGTAGAAGACGAAAGAAAGAAAGAAAGAATACGTCCCGAAAGGATATATCTTTCTTTTCCATCCGTGCGCGCATCCCTCGCGGATGGTCATATAAATCTCTTCGCCTCATCGAGGAGACAGAAGAAAGCAGATCTCTTCTCTTCTCTCCTCTTCCTTCTCCTCCCGTGAAAACGTTTCTAATTTGTTCCCAAAAACCAAAAACAGAACTGAACAAATGAAACAAAAAACAAGCACACTTTGAAAGAAATCGACTACAAATGGAAACGTGAAACTTTGATTCTAACTTAAACAAATTCTCTTTCATTTTCGTTCAATTTCTTCATTAACTTATTCATAATTCATAATATGCGATCTTTTTTTTTTTGTATTTTTATTATAGTCAACTAAAGAAAAATTGACAGCAATTCATAAAACAAAAGAAAAAAATAAATTATCATTACAACAAAGTGATAATTTAATATCAACTTAAACAAATTCTCTTTCATTTTTGTTTCAAACCAAACCAAAAACGATTTTGTATAAATAATTTCTTCATTAAATTATTCAGAATTCATTAGTATTTCATAAAGAAAAAAAAAAGAATGTAATTCATGAAACAAAAGAAAAAAAAACAAATTATCATGGTACAAATGATGAAAAAAAAATGATTGTAATTCATGAAACAAAAGTAAAAAAAACAAATTATCATGACATCAATGAAAAAAAAAAGAAAAACTATTATTAAGTTATATAATAACATGCAAATATATAATAAATAGAATCAAGAGTGCGATAAACACGAAACGCTATTAAAAAATCCGGATCCGCCATTGATTCGCGTAAACAAGCTGACTCGATCGCGAGATATTATTTTTGCTTTGTTTTGTTTCATTTCGTTTATTACAAAAGTGCGATTCGCAAATTGTTTTAAAACTATTATTGAAACGCTTACAATATTATATATACGAGTCCTTGATTTTTATGCAGCGGAGCGACCATTTGCAAAACGAAACAAAATAAATAAAAACAAAATAATAATGAAGAAAAAAAAAAAACAAAAGCGAGTATAAATTTCAATAAAAGTCAGGTGAAATGAAAGTGTAAACAACATGTATTTTTCTCTCTCTCTCTCTCTTGGTGGCGCGACTCTCGATCAAAAATCATACAATTTTGCAAAACTTTCTAACTGTTCACAGAAAACTTGCAGCAGCAGCAACAATAACAACTACAAAAAGAATAGATTCGGAAAATATAGAAGAAAATAAAACGTTTCCTTGTCGTTACTTAAATCGCTCGCTCTAATCTTTTCTCTCTCTCTCTCTCTTTCGCTTCTTTCTTTTTTCTTCTTTTTCTTATTTTCTCTAAGACTTGGAAGCTGGCCATTAATTTGTAAAGCTAAGGAAACTGGGTCAATCTATTATAAACAAATATGAACGGATTCGCGCGACTTTTCCACTCGATCCGTCTTGCTCTTGTGCATGTGATATTCCGTTAATTACGTGCCGACTAATTGCTGTACACGGTAGTTCCGAAGGTTTTCGCATTTATTTACGTTTTTCATTTGTTTTTCTCATTTCCTTCTCTCCGTCTCTCTCTCTTTGAAATAACAATAATATAGGTTAATTAACTTTTCAGTAAGTCACCGTGTCAAACGTTGTTTCGTTTTTTTTTTTTATTTAAAGAACGCCAATTACGCAAACTTTACTTCAAATAATTTGAAAATATACAAATTTAACCAACTTTTAATAACAACAGTTAATTATAGCATTTCCAAAGAGACCTTGATCAAATTGTAATAATTTTATTTTCAATTACGACTGGAATACCCCAAGAAAGTGTACTTGGACCCATAATTTATATTTTTTTTCTTAAATTATGATAATTTAATATTACAAATTACAAATTCTGTTTATTTTTTTTTTCTTAAACCAAGACGATTACGATTATTAGAACATTTTTGTATAAACATTTTCTTCGTTAAATTATTGAGAATCCATAATTATTTCATAAAGAAAAAAAAATGACTGTAATTCATGAAACAAAAGTAAAAAAAAAACAAATTATCATGACATCAATGAAAAATAAAAGAAAAGAACTATTATTATAGCATTTCCAAAGAGACCTTGATCAAATTGTAATATTTTCCTTTTCAATTACGACTGGAATACCCCAAGAAAGTGTACTTGGACCCATTTTTTTTTAAATTATGATCAAAGTACTTCAAAATTCTTAATTTCCCCACTCTATTTATTATCTTTCTTATTAATTTAACGACGAAATTTTTCAATCAAAGTCGATCTCTCACTTTTGATTTTGTCTTAGAAATAAATGAATTATCATTACAACAAATCGCCTACAAATGGAAAAGTGATAATTTAATATCAACTTAAACAAATTCTGTTTATTTTTTTTTTTCTTAAACCAAGACAATTACGATTATTAGAACATTTTTGTATAAACATTTTCTTCGTTAAATTATTCAGAATCCATAAGTATTTCATAAAGAAAACAAAAATGACTGTAATTCATGAAACAAAAGTAAAAAAAAACAAATTATCATGACATCAATGAAAAATAAAAAAAAAGAACAATTATTAAGTTGTATATAAACTTTACTTCAAATAATTTCAAAATATAGAAATTTAACCAACTTTTAATAACAACAGTCAATTATAGCATTTCCAAAGAGACCTTGATCAAATTGTAATATTTTCCTTTTCAATTACGACTGGAATACCCCAAGAAAGTGTACTTGGACCCATAATTTATATATTTTTTTTTAAATTATGATCAAAGTACTTTAACAAAATTCTTAATTTCCCCACTCTATTTATATCTTTCTTAATAATTAATGAAGAAACTTTGCATTTCACCAATAATTGCAAAACGCACCAATATAATTCCACTACGATTCCAATCAAAGTCGATCTCTCACTTTTGATTTTGTCTTATAAATAAATGAAGTATGTTTCTGTTGGCAACCGAAGGCGACAGCCAGATTTTTCCTCTCCGACCCTCGTCGCACCCAAAGTTTTCCCGCATCTCCGTTTCATTCCCTCATCATTATTATTATTACTCTTTTTTTTTTCGCTCGTTTTGTTTTCGCGCCTTGACATTGGATTTGGGCCCAAAAAGAATCCGTCATACGTCCAAACACACACACACACATTTTCAGTCGTTTCTTGCATTTATTTATACAACGAACATCACGATTACGTTAGAGGCGAACGCACCTCCTCGTCGGATGCAATTTTTCGAAACGTGTTTTTCCACCTTCGCCTTCTTTACTATTTTGTTGCATTTTGTTTTGTTTTCTTTTGTTTTTTTATTTTCATTATTTTTCGACTGTTTTTGGCACGTGGCCCCCCACCACCACCACACCACAGCACACTTTTCGAACATCCAAATATCATCATCACCGCATTAACCGTCTTCATCCCGTATTTATTAACAACAACAGCGATAAATTAGACGAGTTTTTTTTTTTTTTTTAGATGCAGAAATAGTCGAAATATTTTCCATGTGTTTACGCAGATGACGACGATGAAAATAATTCCCTTGGGAATCTAGACGCACGAAACAGTTGCGTAACAATGATTGTTTATTACTGCTGTTTTTAAGCTGTCACCGAAATCATAGAACTCTATTACAGCTATTTACTTGACACTTAACCTAAAACAATCTAACCTAAAAATTGTAGGTTAGGTTAATTGAACGAATTGGTATTATTTTAATTGAGAAAAAAAAACAACTTAATTTTACAATCATCAAATTCTCAACAGTCCTTGTATTAACTTTAAGACTCTGGATCATAGTTAGTGTTGTAACAATTGTAGGATACGAGTGAAAAATCCTTTTATAAATAGGACATTATCAGATAAACCGGTTATAATCGGTTATAAACTTAACCTCTCGATTCGCGCGCGCTATCACTTGTTTTGCAAAACGAAAAAAAAAACACGAGCGCTGAATAAAAACAAAAACTGAAAATTTCTTACTTTCCGCAAAAAGTTGAAATATTATTAATTTTTCATAAGAAAAGACAAACAAAAAAAAAAAGAAGTGTAATGGCACGTGCAGAGAGGTGAGGAATTTCTCGTGTTTGTGTTGATTTGCTGTCAAAGTCAGAAACAAACGCCGGTTATCTAAGCGCGCGCTCTCTTTTTCTTTTTCTGCATACGATTATTTTCGTTGTTGTTCTGTGCGTTCGGATTGTCGGAAAATGCAGTGAAAATGCCGAGAATTTTAACAAACACACACGAACCGGAACAATGGACGAGACCGAAACACAATGGACAACTTTATACACACACAAAGTACAATATATTGGAATAATTATGAATAAACATATGTGAATCATCATCATCAACTTTCGATATTTTAATTAAGACCGATAGACATCGTCTGCATATAACGACACACATTCAACCTAACAAACAAATTAAAAAAAAAACAAACGAAAAAAAAAAAAGTGAATAACAGTAACAGCATCAGATCAGCATTGAAGTTGAAATAATGCATTTGTTTGTTCCCGCTCGATGCTTTTTTTTTTTTCATTTATATATATTTCTATCTCTGCGTAATTCGTATTCATTAATTCTATTTGCTGCCGTTGTTTACTATTCATTTGTTTTGTTTTGTTTTGTTTCGTTATATTATTATTATTATTCTCGAAAACTGGGGCCCCAGACAAAGCGTAATTAGAGGGGAAACAGTCGCTTCCTGACCGACGAAAGGGAAACGCGAATCACCGTAATTCTCGAAAACAGTTTCAATCATCATCAAAATCTAAACGCTAAACTCACCTTTCTTCCTTCTTCATTAAATCCTCCTCTTAACAAATCCAATTCAACGCTTCGCGTCAGATGCGAACACACTTTTTGTTTCTCTTCGTTTACTTTGATCACAAACACTTTTACCAGTCAATAATCGTCAAACGTCACTTTGACAGTATTTTTGATGTTGTCAATTTCCATAAGTAACTTTGATACAATCTCATAAAAAAAAACAACATATGAAAACATCATTGAAAATTGAAAATCTTTATAAACCAAATCCAATTTAACACTTCGCGTCAGGTGTTAACACACTTTTGGTTTCTCTTCATTTACTTAGCAATTAGTAATTGCAATTGCAAACTTCAATCAGCAAACGTCATTTTGACAGTATTTTCTATGTTGTCAATTTCCATAAGCAACTTTGATACAATGTCATAAAACAGACAGCATATGTAAACATCGTTAAAATT